ACAAAAGAAGCAATCTTAGCCACAAATGTTCTATTGATGGCCCTTGGAAAAGAGGCTGGAACAAAAATGGCTCAAAAACTCTGTCCCCTTTCCACTACCATAGCTTTGGTCCAAGCCAGTCGTTTTACACAAGTGCTTGTTTCTTGTAGATCCTAATTAGCTACAGAAAGCCCATCTCAAACAGGAAGAATTACACTTTTCAAATAATTATTATTTTAATAATTTAAAAGCAATTATAAAGTTATAACTGGATGACTTATATAGTTTGCAATTATTTTTTGTATGCTGATGTGGTGGGTTGACCCTGGCTGGACACCAGGTGCCCACCAAAGCTGCTCTATAACTCCCCCTCCGCAGTGGGACAGGGGAAAGAAAATACAATGAAAGGCTTGTGGGTCGAGAGAAGGACATGGAGAAACGACTCACCAATTACCATCATGGGCAAAACAGACTCGATTTGGGGAAATCAGTTTAATTTATCATCAACCAAATCAGAGCAGGATAATGAGAAATAAATCCAAGTCTTAAAACACTTTCCCACCACCCTTCCTTTCTTCCCAGGCTGAGCTTGACTCCCATTTTCTCTGCCTCCTCCCCTTCAGCAGCACTGGGGCATGGGGAATGGGAGTTGTGGTCAGGTCATCTCATGTTGTCTTTGCTGCTCTTTCCTCCTCAGGGAGGACTCCTTGCACTCTTCCCCTGCTCCAGTGTGGGCTCCCTCTCACAGGAGACAGTCCTCCATGAACTTCTCCAATGTGAGTCCTTCTCATGGGCTGCAGTTCCTCATGAACTGCTCCAGCACAGGTCCCTTCCATGGGTGCAGCCCTTCAGAAACAGACTGCTCCATTGCAGGTCCCTTCCATAGGTGCATCCTTCAGGAACAGACTGCTCCATTGCAGGTCTCTTCCATAGGTGCATCCTTCAGGAACAGACTGCTCCAGTGTGGGTCCCCTGCGGGGTCACAAGTCTTGCAGCAAACCTGCTCCAGTGTGGGCTCCTCTCTCCACAGGGCCACAGATGCCGCCAGGAGCCTGCTCCAGCGCAGGCTTCCCATGGGGTCACAGCCTCCTTCAAACATCCCCCTGCTCCACTGTGGGGTCCTCCCTGGGCTGAAGGTGGGTATCTGCTCCACCATGGACCTCCATAGGCTGCAGGGCAATTTCTGCTCCAGTGCCTGGAACACTTCCTCCCCTTCTGCACTGACCTTGGTGTCTGCAGAGCTGCTTCTCTCACATATTCTCACTCCTCTCTCTGGCTGCAGTTGCTCCTGTGCAGTAACTTCTTCCCCTTCTTAACTGTTACCCCAGAGGTGCTGCCACCATCACTGATGGGCCCAGCCTTGGCCTGTGGTGGGTCCATCTTGTAGCCGACTGGCATTGGCTCCATCGGACATGGGGGAGCCTTCTGGCAGCTTCTCACAGAAGCCACCCCTGTAGCCCTCCCACTACCAAAACCTTGCCATGCAAAGCCCGTACAGCTGACAAGAAAACTTTTGTTGAGTGTAATCTTCCAAATTTCTTCATGTCCATTTTTTCCTGTCAAAACTGACATTTTCATGAAGAGCATCTAAATGGCTACAAATATATTTGAAAGATACTCCATCAAAAATTTCAAACAATTCTTGGCAGAATCTTTGTTTCAAACAGTGGCATCCTACAACATAAAGGGGTTCATCTCTTCATAGTTGCAAACAGGATTAAAATGTCCCTATCTTGCATTTTGACATATTAAAAATGACACTGACTTGAATAATTCCTGTCCCTAAATTTGAAAATGTTTAAAATTAATCTGTAGCAAACCAGCTATGGTTGATTTATACACCACTTTTGACAAAACCACACAAATTTGAAGTACTTCAAGGAACAAAAATACTCTCTTAATTACATTTTATTTAAGGCACATATATCTCATTCTACATTTGCTTCCTTCCCAGAGTCACTCCACTATTCTAGACAAGAAAGAAAAAATAAAACTAAAAAGTCCTAGTCTTAAAATTGATTGGGGTCCACCAGTAAAAAGTGTTGAAGAGTTCTGTTTATGTCATGTGAAGGAGAATCTGCTACCGAAAATGAAAAGAATTAAAATATCTCCACACAGAAGCACAACCAAGAGGAAAAATACACATCAAAAGATGAAATAATCATTGCATTTAACAGAAATCTGCTGCTATGTGCAGCATCCTGACAACATAGCTAATTATTTGTCCTGATACGAGGTTCTGAAAACAAAACAGGACAGACTTTCAACAGCTCCACCTTCATATATGCTCAGCTGTCACTTTAGAAACCGAGAGACTAAACTACCTGTGTCTCAGTGGAAAAAGGTAAGATCTTTAGGTATTTTACAAAATAGAGGAATCATGAAGAAATATAAAGAGAATGAAAAATGCTTTTTACACAGCGTAAATAAGATGCTAATGCCTCTTCAGCAGCAGCTAGATAGCATTAATTTACAGGTAATCCCAACTAATTTTGTAGTTCACAAAAATATCTGCAAGCCTAATCTTTCTTCCTGTCCTCTGTTAGCCCTCTGTAAATTGGAGCAAAGCATTGACTTTGAAAAAGAAATCCAGCAGGCTCCCCAGGTGTTCCTGTTTGATTTCGTTTTCCCATACCACGGTGAGTCACTCTTCAATCGATCTTCTGGCTGTTGCCTCACAGTGTGAAAGACATTGGCACTTTTGGAAGTCATGCTCTTTGTAGTTTGCTACCAACCTAGGAACTACAGCACCAACACGGAAATTGTAGAACCTGGTGAGCCTTACTGTGATGCAGAATATATGGAATGTCAAATACTGATCTGCATGATTATCATAAAGCTTTTCAAGTTACACACTGATACATGAGCAGCGTTACATCCAGTTATTGAGGCAGATGAAATTGCTACAGGAGAGGAAGAAAGAGGATACAAGAACTCTGGGTCAGTCTAGACAGGGGAAAAATAAAACATTATAAACAGTAGATGTTAAATGCATTGGAAGACGAAAGGTATTTATTGGATACAAATAGCTTCTTGGCACTAGAAGGATAATACTCAGCAACTGAAAGCTAGAGAGAGGATGGTATCCACCTCTTTGTCTAGGCATCATACTGCATACATAATCACCTTCTGCGGGCTTTCTCGTTCTTTAGCAGAATTTGGCTGCAAGAATCCAAATGCAACTACAAAATGGGAGAACGCCATCAGTGAAACACAAATGCTCTGAACAAGGGCATTTTAAACATGCTCTTGGAGGGCACGTATCTATCTTTATATTTCACTGGACCAGTCAGCTTACGGCTGTTCTAATGTTTTAACGTTTCATGACTTACAGAAATATAATATTGTTTCACTTTTATAAAAATCACAGAAACAAGGCTATTGAGCTGTGTACGGGGTTTGCTACTGATGTGCAAGAAAAGCAAAGCAAAATCCTGAATGTACAGGTTATACACATAGATACTACAGAACAATATAATCAACATTACATAAAGGGTTTTCATTCACACTAAGAAATGATTGCTTTGACCTGTGATAATACCAGAATGATTTTAAGGGCCCAGAGTGCATTCAAAATCTAAGAAAGAGGTTAATACATATATTTTTTAATTGTTCCTAGGACAAATTTGTAGTAAGTGGCGAGAAGGGATTTAGAAGTCTTCAGCATACCTAAGTTATAGCTTGTTTTCGGCAATGACTGGGACATTGTTTGTGCTGCCATGTGAGCTATTTGGAAAGTCTTTAATTGAACTGGAAAAAAATTGTTGTAACTTATTAATTGAAGAAACCATAAAGACAGCAAAATATTTTTACTGATATTTTATTAGACTTAGCACCTATCTTGAGAGTTACTGATCATGTCTCCAGCTCTGTGTGAAACATCAAGTGTGTTATGTTGGACATAACTGAAATAGCTTGCATCCTGCTTTTCACTCTCTTAAAGGCATCGAAATTCAGATTGTCTATTTTACTGCAAATGTAAGCATTTTGAAATCTACTATCATTCCCATTTGCTAGTCGGCACATGGCTGCTGTGAGTAAACCATGCCACACTCAGTGAGACCATGGCCTAATGCCATTTATTTGTGACCCATAATTTTGAGAACTCCTTCTGAAAGGACACCAATGCAATACAAATATAAATATATATTTCATGTTTGAGAAATCTGAATACTTTTTACATTTCAAGATCATGCCAGAGCTAACAGCACATAAATTGACTTCTGCATTCATATGGTATCAGTGAGAAAAAAAATCTTGTAATTATATGCTGTTTTGTAAATAGGATGATTTTATTAATTTTGGTGTTGTTAGGATGTTATGACTGAAAAAATATGTTAATTTCAAGTAATGATTAGAGCAAAGCAAAAATTAATCTTTATGCTTCAAAGGACCATAGATAGTACAACCACTTGCCTTTTCAGTCTTTCACCTAGCTCATCTATGAAGTGTGATACTTTTAAACTAAATGGAATTTAAATTAATCTCAAATATCCATAAATTAGCAAATTTTGTGTCTTCTGCTTATGTCCTGATAAAATAGATTCTTTTAAATATTCTATGGAATCCAGCATTGTAATGGTTAAGTGACAGGCATGCAAGGGCAAAAGAGGTTGTCAAAGTGCAAAACAAACAAGAGTTTTCTTCTCTTACACAGCTTCTCCTAGTCATTAAGCATTGCAGGCCAGTTGCAAATTAGCAACACTGCAGCTGTCTCCAGTATCCTCCACTTTGCTTGTGTTTGTGGATTTGAGGTAAGTCTTCTGTATCGCCTAGGGAGTAAATGACTGCAAGTGCCTATGATGCCACCCAAGACTGAAGACAACAGAGGTGATTCAGTTTCTGAAAGGCAATAGCAAGTCTAGCAGATATTATTGACCAAGGTTATTGAGAAAGCTGGCCATAGCCTGCCTCAACATCTAACTGCTGAATAAAAAGCAGTAGCAGCAGCAGCAGCAGAGGATGCACAAGTTTAGAGTGTTAGAAGCCATAGAAGGAAGCAAAAGTAAGAGACAGCAACAGTAAGACAAAGTACATATAAACTTTTAATGAATTAACCTTACAAAAGACAATAGCTTCAAAACATTTGACACGTTTGTACAAAACTATTCCAGCATTGTTAGTTCTCTCTTCAGAAAGAATGCCAGCAAGCCACCCAACGTGTCCCTGGCTATGAGATGCAACTGGTGATCACATCCAAATCATGTGTGGATAGAGTAAACTTATTTACAAATACTGTATACTTTAATACCAGATTAGTGGATGCTATTGGGGAGCGACTGTATTTTCCAGAAAACATCATGCATCAGAAAATAGTATGCACCCCTAGCTTTATTGCCTTTTTTCCACGCATTTGTCACTAACATCTCTTTATAGTCCTTTCAGGATGAGTTATCTCCTTTTAATTCCTATTCCTTCTTTTCTTGTCTTTGAGTAACAGTGCAAGTAGCAGTACAATCTTCCAGTCCTATAGCGTACATCGCAACTGTCCTTGAACATAAGGAATATCAAGGTGCAAAATGATGGCTCATGGGACTATTCTGCAGCCATATTAAAATAAGTGCCACATACCAGAAAATAGCACGCATGTTAAGGGCCAAAATGTAGTTAAAAAGTGCGTGATACTTTCCTGAAAATATGGTACTGATGACACGTACAAGCATCCTCAAGATGCCACGTTCCCTTGTGAAAGGGATCTTGTCATTTCAGTATGTACAAAGTATGTCTTCAATTCTCCTTTTCCTTTTACGTTTATTATTCCTCTGCAAGTGCTCATGTACCCCAGTGTCTGCAGGACGTTGTTTGTTTCCTCTGTAACCTGCAACAACACAGTAATTGAATCAGCGTTGATAACAGAGCAAAACAGAATCTTCTTCCAGAGTGTGAAGAGAACATATTTTCTGAGGAATTATAAGGGGTTTGCTGTAATGCTTATAAGGCCTTTCAGGGTCTCATATGAGGTTAGAGCACCTGAGCTTTCAAATAGTCTGTTGCCTATTGTAATTGCTTACATCGGGTATCAAATTTGGTATAACCATTTCTGTACCTAGGATTGCAAACACAGAAGATACACAAATGGCACTAGGAACAAATTTTTTCAGCTTCAGGAGGTGTTTTTTTTGTTTTCAGTAGACCCAAACTTCCCCATCTTTTTGAAAATACTAAGGCTGTGCGAGTGAAGTGATACAAAGACATTAGCATCACTTGTCAGAGCTGCTGTTGCCAGTTTCACACATAACTGACAGTGAAACAAACTTCAGGCAGTTTTGCCATTTTAGGTGAAAGGCCACTAGAATGGGGGTTGCTCAACAGCATCAGTTGTCTCAGACTGTCTGCGTTTCTTTGTGAAACAAGCAATTGTTTGTAGATGTCATTGCTTTGAAATCCCTTCTGTTTTCAGTTTTGACCACAGTTGGTAACTTCACTTTTCTATTATTTAGTTCTGGATAGTCTCAATCATAGATTTGAAGTGCTCTCAATTGCATGCTGGGATCCCAAAGTGCAGGGCAGCATACTAGGCAGATACATAAAATGTGATCCATGACTATGGAATCACTGGAAAGTTAGTAAATTGAAGGTCTTGTCTATACTGGCCTATCTATAATCTATACATATAATAATCTATAAAGATTATTAATCAGCATGGTTCACTGAAAGGGAAGTTTCATGATCACTTTATGGATTTAACTTAATGTACAGCAGTTATGGTCATTTACTTTATTTAGAAGTAACATCAGCGATGCCCTTCGTTGATAAAGTAGCTAGTATTTTATGAGTTTAAAAATTCACAGAATAAAAATGTCATTTCCCTCAAATGATCCTCTTAACCTAGGGATGCATTTCTAGGCAATCCATGACTTCCTCCACTATATTCCTCTGTAGGGTTAAGACAAAGTTTTGATTCTCCTCCCATTTTGCCCATAATTTTCTTTTAATTCTTTACTTTCCTGCCCAAGGTCTAATTCTTCTTAAATGTAGAGTTACAGCTGGTAGGTAATGTTTTTCTGTAGGCATCCTTAGCTCCAAAACACAGACCTGCTTAGTGTACAAGTAAGCAATTTTTCAAGCATCAGACTCGAAGGATTAAGGTAAATACTAGCACAAGAGCAAAACTTACCTGTATTTTGTCTAAGACACCAGTGCTGTCCATCCTGCTGGCCACATTTACCGTATTGCCCCAGATATCGTATTGTGGTTTTTGAGCTCCAATCACTCCAGCTATTACAGGTCCATGGTTGATACCTGGAAAACATCAGAATTTAAGATTAAGAACAAAGATCCACCAAACAAGGACCACAGAGCATCTAGTAACATACCAAGTCAATAAACAGGGTATTTAGCCCATGCTGAATAGTCAATACAGCTACCAACAGTTTGTTCATAACTGCTTTATTAAAAAATGCACATTGTAGGGGTGAAGAACAACATGGTACAGGCCAGTATTAGACTCTGGCCATTTTTTATCTTGCAGTCATTTTGTATCCTATGTTACCTTTGTAAGCAGAGAGAGTTGTACTCTGCTAGTAGGGAAGGAAACCAGGAGGGAAAATCAAAAGCACTATCATTAACCATCATAAAATATGCTATAGTGAGGGTGGTGAGGCACTGGAATGGGTTGCCCAAGGAAGTTGTGAATGCTCCAACCCTGGAGGTATTCAAGGCCAGGCTGGACAGAGCATTGGGCGACATAGTTTAGTGTGTGGTGTCCCTGCTCATGGCAGGGGGGTTGGAACTAGATGATCTTAAGGTCCTTTCCAACCCTAACTATTCTATGATTCTATAATTCTATGAGCAGAAAGCCAAGTTAGAGGAGCAGGAAAGCCAAGTCAGACCTAGTGAGAAATAAACCCTGGACAAGTGAGTAGCTGGAGTTCTAAAATTATCTCCATGTCAATGGATCATAACTGACTTCTATTAATTCCTTGACAGAAACCACCACTAGGGATATATCTGTACAGTACAATGAAAGTGTGATTGTAGCACAGGGAGGCATTTCAGAGATAGCTCATCTAGTATGGATCATATGTGACATGGCAGCATGGGCTAGCAACCACACTATGAGCCCACTTGGAAACCCTGGAAAAAGTGACCGTAGCAGTTAAATTTGAAGAACTGGGGACATATGCAAACCCTAAAGGATACCAGACAGAACCTGATAAATATTTGTCTAAGCACTTGGGATTAAATGCACAAAGGGACTCTAGGCCTTGCAATATGCTGCATTAACAACCAGGCCATGGGTGTGTCTTTCCGCCTCAGATCATCCAATATGTATAAAGCACTAAGGACCTAAGAGTGGAATCTGCAAAAGCCTTCTGCTGAGTATCCCAAGCTGGCTAGTAGGGAATACTGAAGAGATGTGTGTGGCATACGTTCTGCCATGGCCCAGACATTAGGGCAGTGTGGTGGGACTTTCCTACAAAAATACAGTGGGCAGGAGGTGACTTTAATTTTTTTTACCTCCTTCTTGAACCACCACTGCTGATGGTTTGAGTAATACCTCGAGGGCCGGAGAGCCAGTTTCAGATCCCTCCTCCTTCAAGGAGACTTCTACCCATATCTCTTAGGCATGTGTTTTGGTCACTCAGGCTTTCTGGCTGTGCTGCTCTACGTCAAAGGTCTCTTTCGCATGACACGTGAATGTTTTTATTAGGGCAAGGCTGGAAGAGTAGTACTGTCAGTCCAGGTGAATGCTCTAGCAGAGGGTGGGTGATACCATCTGTCTCTTTCTCTTGTATCCAAAGTGAAATTTAATTTATTACATGAAAACGAAAATACTGTTCAGCAAATACTGTTCTTCAGGACAGAGAATATCTTATTCCAAAGTATCCTACAACTTGGGCCCATAGGATTCTCCAGGGAAAAGGGATCCTCATGCTTGTACAGCCTCAGACAAAAGAAGAACCAAATTAAGTTCACCTACAACACAGACAAATGTTCTAACCATAAAGCTGTATGGAAAACAACATGTCAGCTTCTATTCTGTTCTGGACAAAAGCAGTACCTGTGCAAAACTGGCTGCAAAACCTTGTCTGAGCTTGTCTAATAAATCAAGTACTTTAGCTAACAGAAGGAAAGGAACACCTGAAATATAATCTAGGTGCTCCCTTCCCTTGCCTGACATCAGAGTAGGCTGTGTACTTCCTAAGGCGCAACTAGCATTTCAGGCACTCGCAGAAAGTGAAGGTTGAAAGCTGAGACCTCTAGTGAGTTACAACAATTCTGGTGCTGGCTGAGGAAGGCTCTTACAAATAGTGTTTTGGGTTTAAGTCCTTTCAGTGGGGATATCATCAGAGGTTGATGTTCGAACATTTCTGTGGCTGTAATTGCTATGGATATCAGATGCTTTCATGGATGGTGAGGTGATGGTGGGAAGTGGAGAAGTGAAGATGGGAAGTGGAGATCTCAGTGGTGCCTGTGTTGGATTAAGGTGTCAGAAGTAGCAGTTTGGGGCCTGCAATCCTTTGTAGATTTAAACATTCCTCACTTCATGAAGCAAAGGAGTCTGACTTCTCTGGAACCTATAGTAAACACTTTAAAAATCACAAGTAAGTATATATATATTTTTTTTCCCCGTGGAAAGTTTGCTTCATGATCTCCACTTTAAAGGAGTCAGTATTGCTTTACGCAGTTTGCAGATTCAGCTCTGATGCCCCTTAGCTCTTTATCTGTACTGACATTGCTGATAAAAGTATATTTGCAACTATGTGGCATGTCATCTATGGCAAGAAGAGAACATTTATTCTGTACAGAAATACAGTCTCTCTACATGTTTCTTTTAAACCCGTCGAGTTCTGTAACACTTTGAGAAGGAAGTATACTTTGGATTTCCTTTCTCATTTTTTTTTAACTTTAGTGAGGAATACAAAACTGGCTGGGAAAAGGAAGTGCTCTAAGGAACACATATTTCGAGTCAGAAGAGAGCAAGTCTCGCCAGTGGGTGGCACTGTGAAACAAACATGAAAGGAGCAGCCTAAAGGAAAAGCGAGTGGCACAGCAAGGAAAATACAAGACCAGAGAATAACTTGGAAATCAAATACTTCTGACATGTTTACAGGATTTATGGGTTTCCAATATTAATTTACTGCTTTCATTTCACACTTTCCAAGTTACATATTGCATTGTAAAACTACTGTGTACCACTATCAGGAAATAAACATTTCAGAACATACACCTCTTGACCAGGTTTGAATTCATTTACTTCATCATCCTTACTGCAGCTGCCTGTTTATTTTTTAAATACCACGAAGCACAAGTAGAAGCAATTAGAAGCTGAAATATAAGGGATACCTCTTTCAAATATAAACAACTAGTCATCTTTCTTTGCTCTTATTTGTCAATAACCACAGAATAGAGAAATACCCTCCTTTGTCTAAAACTGGGACAGAAAGGGTGCATTTTTTTGTATGCTTACTTGAATTTAGTACATCTGAAATATTTCAAACTCCAGCCTCACTGGCACCTTATAGCTCCTGCCTTCCAAAACCATTTTTATGGTTTTGTAAAGCCCTGTCCAAGAGTCTTCTTGTGTCCTTTGGTATTGATAAGCTGTGGTTAACAATGTCTAGAATAATTATTATGGAGTTACCATAAAAACATTCAGAGCCATGGGAGCATATTTTTAACACCGTTCTGTACTTAGGAATACTGGCCTTTCCTGAGTCCTGCCTTGAAACACTCCTTGCAACAACAGCAGCCATGGTTAATGGGCAATACCATGTAGGCTGCCCTTAAACAGGGTAAAGATGGTGCTATTTACCTTCATGGCACTTTTGGTCAGTTCTGCTAACACTTTAATCAGCTGGTAGTTCACACTGAATTCTCCACCTCCTCTATGACATTCTCATAAAAATTTGGTGATACATACCTACTCGTAACTTGAAGTCATTGAATGAATGCTTGTTTATGACATCCAGTTTTGCCACCAAGGCAAATGCAAACTCCACCATGGTTCCTATGTGCATATACTGTCGTTCAGGTTCCTGAATTTGAACAGTCAAACAAACACAGTAAAATCATTTCCCTTAGCCTTAGTTGCTGTGAAAATACAAACCAAAATATTCTTAACTCTTGAAAGCACTTAAAACTGTCAAAGATGTCCTAATGCCAGCAGGCAGCAGACTAGAAGTAATGTAGAAGATGGTGCCTTGTCCAGCATAGATCAAACAATGGCCAATAGACCAGGATGCATTTTACTTACACAGTCAAGCAGTCTAGAGGTGATAAGTCCAAAACATACATAATCTGATGTTTTGATTGTCAAATAACTGATTAGCTGCTATCTAATCCCACAGGCACTCAATAGCTATGTGTGTCTAAGATTTGCTCATTAATTTTCTCTAACTGTCTGCTTCTATTTTATGCCCTTTAATAACAAATACTGTTTGTGGACAGCCCCAGAGACTCCTCCCCCTCACTGTTGCACATCTCAGCACCCTAGGTGATCCAGTGAAATTCACAATTCTGAGAGTTTCTCTAATGATCTCATCTGGTAGAAAACCAAGCATCTCTGAGAACCCAAAAGCCCTGAAAATGAATAAAATACAGGAGGAAGAGAGGAAGAAGGCAACCCATCCTCTGTTCCCTAATTTCCTAGCTCAGAGCTTATACCACTTATAAAGGCTATAGACTTCATGTCTCCTCATACATCAGCAGTGCAGCCTGATTTCTAAGTACTGGTTTGAGTCCCCTCAGGACAAGGAGAAAATTATTTTCAGGCTCCCATAGCTCAGAGTAGGACCCCGACAAGAGAATGATTTCACAAAATGGACTCATCTCTATGAGAAATGACCAAATCTTCCTCATTTCTTGAGAGAAAGTGACAGAAGAGATGGACAGATGACAACTTCAGGAGATGATTCATGGAGTAGATGCATCAGCCTAGGTGGGACAGTAGTGGTGCTTGCCAGAGCAGCTGCTTAGAATTAAGACTGTTTCCTTTGGTATTCACTCCTACCTAAGACAGATGGTTTCCTGTTCAGTTGATGTATTCAGACCCCATCCTTAGGCACTTAGTCTTCCTTGGGTGCTTGTTTGAAGCTGGGGGCAGTTCCCAGCAGGATGCCTAGCAGTCAGTCACTGCCACACTAAGTACCAAGGTATCTGTGCATCGCTGGGCATCTGGACTGGAGGCTGCTGAGTTCTGGTAGCTTTCTTTTGCAAGCGTGTACTAAATCACCAAAGGAACACTAAAACTTGGATCTCTTGATTCACAGTTTGTGGAAATAATGGAAATGATACATTTCTTCCTGTGCGCACACTAGTTTTAGTTGTGATTGGGAGCTCCTCTGTCTTCTCATCTCACCTGCAGTTCTGTATTTAATTCATCCCCTTCACCTCCCTGTATTAAATGCCAGAGCTAATTTAGAATCATTCTTTTGCTCTTTTTTTTTTTTTTTTTGTCCTTGGGGTCCTTAGGGTCTACAGTTCAGGTGTTAATTGCCTCTGTCTAGAAGGAACATGATTTTGGCAAGAGCACAGTTATTCTATGCAGAGAATGTGTTGATTAATAATTGCTGTCTCTGTCACTAACCTGTTGTACTCTAAAGATCATGGCAAAAGCAAGGGTTTTGCTTAAAAGTTATCTGAGCTTCATTTCGACTGACTGCAGTTCCCAATCCTACCCTATTAAGTAAACTAGAAACAAAGGAACATATTCTCAGTGCTGAGCCTGAAGCTTCTACAAGTGTATGATTAGTACAGCTACTCAGCCCTCCCAGCTTGCAATGGAAAATACTCATTTTCACAGTGTTTTTCACACTCTACAAATCCAGTTCTGCTGCAGCATGTAGGAATCAAATGCTGTATTATATATAGAAGTCCTGTTTTAGACTTAGCAAATACAGAGGTGGCATTTTCAAACCGCAATGTGAAGAGCAATAATTCAGAGAGACTACTAAACAAAAGCATACACTTGTTCACTACAATACAGTCTATGCTAATAGAAACAAACTAGGCCACAACATTGTACGTGACCTGCAGTTTAATGAATGGAATTTTAGCCTTCATTTGAACATGGTTTTTATTAACCAGGAACCTTTTCCTGTACCTGACACTGTTCTTGGTTGGGTGTGGCACTCAATCCTGTTGCTGCCATGTAAGTACTCCCAATGGTCTTTATCTTTTCAACTCCACTGAACTTTGGCTTTGACAATAACTGTAAAACAAGGATCATTATTCATTATTCAGATCAGCTGCCTTATTACTCTAGCAAACAGCATTGTTACTCTAACAGCATTTAGACCATCAATTCTTAGAACAGTTTCTTAATAGACCCCAAATGGCTTCACAAATATATACAGGACAAAGGACTTAAGGGTGGATAAAACAATGGTTACAGCCTCCAAGGGAAGGGAATGTCTGTCTGCTAAAATTTCATTTTAATCAAATTTAGTCCCTTTCCACTATAAAGGGTCTAAATTTACAGTAATAAGAATAAATTCCATGTTATTGTACATACAGCTTTTAAAAGTTGGTAGGCTTTGCACTCATTTGAGATTGGAACTGAGTCAGCATGTAAGCCAACAAGATTTAAGCAGTTTTCCAAAAGTAAGCATCTCTTCTGCACCAACAGGATGGTCAATGCAACAGGACTAAAATCCAAGGATTTTAGTTCATATCCCCAGTTGCTGTGGACATTCCAATACTCCCCACATAGGTTTGCTGCTCAAATACCCTCTATAGCTGCATATCCACAAATCCAGACTGTGGTCTCAGTCATAACATGATCTTACTGTCTTTAAGACAAATACTCTTCTCAGTGAGACCTTTACAGTTACACCCTTTCCACAATCCATCTGTAGTCACATTCTGTACTTTCTTGTAACTTCAGAGAATGGAATATTAAAACTTATACAATTCTTTGATTTGCTGATGTAGTCAACTGATCAATGCTCTGTACAGTGAGACAGATCAGGTATAACGCAAAGCTGTATCATTTTAGGGGACATAGATTTACATACCTGACTTTATGCAGTAGTATTTAGAAACTGTAATTAATATATGGCATGTAATATGACTGCCTCATGAACTGCAGCTAAAGGGCAAACATTTCATCAGATATACACATACGATTCTTACTATAGTGAATCAAAAGCGATTGAGTATGTAAGCGCAATATCTGATTTATCTTTTCAACCTCTTTTTCCTTTAATACTCCCTGTTAAGTAATTTCCATGTGACTGGGCACGCAGAAGTTCTTTTCTGACAGCTCTCTCAAGTACATTTGCTTGCTGTTGCATACCCTGAGTTATTAAGATTAAAACCATATGTTGATTGCTGTTAGGAGTACATACATCATCGAAGTCAGCAATGATCTCATTTAGCAGCCTGAGACATTCCAAGCCTTCCTTATTTACATCAGATTCTGTGTAAAATTCTTTGAAATCCGGAACGGAGGCAAACATGACACAGACACAGTCATATGACTGATGATATAGATCCTGTCCAAAAGAAAACAGAATAGAGAAAAAAATCTGTTATACCCATCTCTAAATAAGAATTTCCTTATTAATAATATGCAGTGTCCTGGTTCTGAAAAGGGAGGAGTTGCAGTGGTTGGAATGCCTTAAGATGGTGGTTAGGTATTTTTTGCATTTAGTTGCATTTATTAATTTTAAATGGTGTATAAAGAGATTCAACACATACAGCTGAAAATATTTTAGCTTACTTATGTGAGCTTCTCTACTGCCTTCTGTGATCACTGAAATGAGAGCACCTCTGCTCCATAGGAAGATTGGTGCTAAAAATGACCACCCCCTCCACCGCCCATTCAGTTGGAGAAGATGGATGAATTTCATTAGATTTTTCTGCTCCTTTGTTCTCTAGTGATTCCATAACCAGATCATCAGTGAAGCTCCACCATGCCTCTGGGCAATGGGCATCGAATATATCGTTGCAATTCATCATTATCATTTATATTGTGATAGCTGAGCTGGTTGTACCTGACATCCAGCTTACAACCATGTATACAAAATCAGTACCACTTTAATGTCACCTGATTGTGCAAATGAAAAGCAACTAAACAAAATATCCAAGCCATGAGTGCATAGTCCGATCGCTACTGAACTTCAAAGTTCTGGATCCCCTGTGTCCTCCTGCCAAGAGAATTTTTCATAAAGAACCAATATTGTGATAATATTTTTCTGCCATCTATTTTATCCATCTCCATCAACACCTGATTAATAAATGTAATCCATTATAATGAAGTAATCAAATGGGGGGGAGAGAGAACCCCTCTGGCTGAATGATCTCAACTTCATTTATGCAATTGAAGCCTAACTGAATACCTGACTAAAGTACTTAATTTGAGAGCATGGTCATCCTATGTGTATCTATCTGCATTGTCAGTACAGCAGATGTGCATATTTGGGAAGTCACTTTAATGCCAGATGGGCAGAATCAGAAACTCAGATAGAGCTTCCTTCTTTCAGTCAGTTATGGAAGAAAGACTTAAGAGGTGATTTTTCCTAACATAGGCACTCAAGAGGAGTTCCTGAAACTCTACAGGATTACTTTAAGAAATTCAGAAGCTCCAGGTCCACTCTGTAATACTGCAGTGACATACACTGGCAGCTGTCTTGAGTATGTATGCACCTAGACTCGCTGCAGATATACTCAAATGAGCTTGAAATTAATGCAGTGGAGCAGTAGAAGATGAACAGGCTTAGTCCTGAAAAGCTTAGCTTTTGCAGTCTGCCTTTTGCTTCGTATCTATGTACTTCAGGCATGTCTACACTTAAGCTACAGTAACATTTGCCTGTAAATACAGTCAAAAGTTAAGATCTGATGTGCTGCGTGCTTTTCATAGACAAGTTAGCAGAATAGGTAAAGAGATTACATTCTGTGGTTAACTCAGCTTTCTTTCTATTTCCTCAAGTCAGCTTCCTTGTAACTTAATTTCAATTTTGGGTGAAGCAATTCAGGCCAAACACAGTGCTGGTTATTAAAAGAGGAATGCATCACAAATATAGGGCCTCAGTAATACAATGGTATATAAAGGACTGGAGGGAGATGATATAACAGTATTTATAGCAGAATGTAGATAAATTAATGTTCAAAATATAGGTTATTACACATACTTTTGAAACTTTACCCGACAAATTAAACAAGTTGTATACATTTGTGACAAATACTTAAAAAAAAAAAAATTTAGATTCCTACCAACTTGAAAAATCCAGTAAATTAAATCCAGTCAAATTAATAGTACAGTTATAATTAATAATATTAAGACACAATTCTGTTGTCCTAGGGTTTCTGTTAATTGGTAAAAAAAAAGTTGGTCTAATTTACCAGATAAACATGAGATAGTTTTATTTGCTTTATTGAATCCAGCTGATTTTGCATCCCAAGAATGTAAAACGTGCCAGAATTACACTACGGATGGGATACTGGTTGTGAAGTTTGTGAAAGAGACAAAATTGAGGCACAGAAGTGATTCTGGGACAGTGCCATGACTGAAATAGTACCTGGAAACTAGCACCATGTAAAGGTTTATTTGAGAATAAACTTCAAGTCATAAGAATACAGGTCTTTAGGAGGTACAACTGAACCCTTACAGGAAAAGGAGACCAACTAGCAGAGCTGCAGGCATATGATATTACTGCATAATATGAAGGAGAGATAGTAGAAGATGGTTTCATTTTACTACCTCATAATATAGGAACCAGAAGATAAAGAGAGCATTTAGAAGTAGAATAAGGAAAAATATTTTACATAAGAAAGATATGTGTATTTCATTGCTGTTCAGCAATATGTGAGAGCTTAGAGGGTTAAACACCTGAATGCTTACGTGAACACTAGAAAAATGCATAACTAGGAAATGCATAGGAAGCATCTGCAGAAGCATCTGCAGAAGCAAAACATACCCTTACATTTACAGGTAAAAACACAACGGCAAATAGCACATGAACCTTCAGCTGTTCCTTGAACTTTTGCTGAAATATCTAACACTGAATACTGCCAGGGCCTTGCAGTTGACTGGACTGCTGATAGGTGGCAACTCCTGTCTTACTATGATTGCCACTGCAAAAAAAGTCTATCTTACAGATACTAAATGTAAAAACCTAATTAGCTATTAGAAAATGCCTTTGCTGTCTTCCCTGAAAGAAGAAGTGTTGCCCAGAATAAATCATAGCAACTTGCACAGTGCAGAGTCATCAGGAAGAGATATATGACTGAGCAAAAGACAGAAGCAGAGTTTCAAACAGAAGTGCTGTCGTGACACAGGAAGATGACTGTGCATTATGCTGTTGGCTGTCCACCCAGTATGGAGACAACCAACCTGTAAGAAAGGGTTGCATGCCTGACTGTTAGAATTACAGACAAAAATCCTATTTTTCTATAACCAGAGGTATCACTCCTTCCTCTCCTCCACCTCAAAAATACATGAACAGATTGTATATAAACAATTGTCATATGCTGAAGCTCAGCAACAGTGCCCCATTTCTCTTCCTTTCTCTCTAATACTGGGGCAATATCCACCCCCACTAATGCTCTATAGCATAGAACCAGCATGGAAACAACAACAAATGGCACTGTTTATAACCAGATCAGTAGTAATTGTGGCTGTCACAATAAATGTCAGAGAATTTTAAGTAGGCTTTCCCAGCTAGTTTGTTTTGATCATTCATAATAGTAAAGACTGTGGCAATTGAGTGTCTTCATTTTCCTGAGTACTTCTCTTGAAACAGTACTCTCCAAAATGTTTAATCAGAAAATTAAATGCAACACCATTCCAGGAAGGAACAGCTTTGCTTCTCTCAACGAAAATAAAATCATCCTTTCTTCTGCAGTCAATCCCTTTTCATCTATTTTTCCCCCTCCCCTTTGGTAACATCTGAATTTCTGTTGGTTAGCTCTCATTCCTGTCCTCTCTTCTTCTTCAGTGCTTGGAGATCTTCTCGGAATGTAGGAGGGAAATGCTTTCTGTTGCACCTCTTGGAAGGGCATGGTGATCAGCTTCTCTGGGGCAGAATTTCTGTGCTAAGTAGGGTGCTGGCTCTATCCTGTAGCTGATGAAACAGGATTTCTCTTGCTGAGTAATGTGCTTGACAATTATCTTGGAGCACAAAAGCTCCTGAGCCCTTTTTACTAATAGGGGATCTGGATGCTACCAACATAAATGAAAAAGCTGCATAAGCCAGGTGCAGATATATTTAATCCTGGCTCCATTTCCTGCTTTTAGTTTTAGATTTGTTCCTGTCTTTCTGTCTGTCAACTGGGAAGTACCCTGTTTGGTACCCGGCATACAGACTAGAAGCAGAAACTCAGTTCAGGAGGTTCTGGTAAAGCAAACAAACCTTTATTACAGTTTGCTCTGAAGTAACTTTGCTTTTCCCATATCAACATTAGTTAATGTGTATCCTGTTATGAAAAGACCTTTATTGGTCATCTAAAAGTACAGTCCCATTACTCCCAGTTAGCATTCATCCACTCATATTTTCCCCTTTCATCCTTGCTGCCTGTTCTTCAGCAGCACGCTTTGTTTTCCCTTTTCTCCACTGAACTGCAAGCATAAAATTCTAGAGAAGTAGTGTTCTGAAACAGACTACTCATCCATTAGATTAATTTTCATCTCAAAAGTGGGTTTAAATAGAAAAGAATATATAAAAAATCATATCAACACAAGTGTTTGCGACTAAGGAAAATGTGGACAAATTTCAATTCAGTGTGTGTTGACCTAAATATCCCCACAAAGAAAACAAAGGCTTGACCTGTTTTAACATATTCTTAGGTATATACACATACACACATACAGAATGTCCTTTAAGGGTCAACACATCCTTGCTGACTTTGAAACAAATCTGAGGACACAACAGATGCTTACAATCCTGAACATTTCCAGGGATTTGAAATGTTCTTCCCTCTTTGAAAACTGTGTTCGAAGATAAACAAAATAAGAAAAAAGATCAAGATTTTTATTATTTTTTCTTTTTCTACATGGATGCCATTAAAATAATGACAAATCATTTTTACTTCAGCTGACATGATAGATAGGAGAGGTCAGCACATTACAATTTCTGTTCTTCACTAAATTGACTAAAGCTCATTTCAACCTAAGAATCTTGAGGGGTGACAATATAAATCCAGTTGCCAATACAAAGGTGAGCAGATGGTGTTGCTCTGCTGGGGAGCTGAGATGGAATAGCACATAAATGAGAAAGCAATCTCCTGATGGTTTGCTGTGTTTAATGCCTGAACTGAGAACTGGAGCTGTGCCAGCTTGGCTTCCAGCCAAGGTCTTCACTGAATTCAAAGGAACCCCACAGCAGTTTTCATTTGGTATTAGCTACCAAATGAATATTTGCAGGTAGCACTAAAGTATTGATACAAAGTACTGATTGGTAGTGCTTAATGCAAACCACAGTGAAAGGGAAGACATTATCCTTATTGATTTGGGAGATTGAAAATTAATCCCTAAAGCCACCCTCCCCTCTTTTGTCAGTTCTGGAACAGTTGCTTGGTATGCACAAGTAATTCCAACTATTGCTTTTAAGATCTCTGGAACTACTAAATGCTTTTATTTTTCTAACCTTTTTTGTTTTATTAAAACTGTAAAGCCATATTAGAAGCAGATCTAATTTCAACCAAAGTCAACAGGGAACTTGTGGTTGACTTTTCTGGTGCTTGGATTGGGTCCACGAGCAGCAAGTAAACAGGTAATTCGGTGTACAGAACCTCTTCCCACAATTAACGTAGCCACTTTAGCTTAAGGGAAAAGGTTAAATTTCATTCCAGTAAGCAAGATCTCCAGTCACAAGAATAAAATTCAGAACCTGGAAGTAACTCCACTTTATTCACAAAGGGAAAAGTTTCTGAATGTATATAAATTAAATTTAAATCCAAGTTAATTCAACCATCCTGTTTTTCCTCCTCACACTTTTTTCACCCTCCTTTGAAAGGCAAAGTACACTGCCATTTAAGATAATCTCACATTTTTTACTTTAAGGTACTGAGGTGCGTTCAGTGCTGTAAAACAAGTCTTTCAGATAGGTAAGGGGGAATGAAAGTGACTATAAATATTAAATCTTGCTGTATGGACCTACTGTTCAAATCAGCATTAAGTGGTATTTCGATGATATGTTGCTTTCTTATAGAGCAGAGGATATACAGAGATGTCTGACCTCATTCTTCAGGTTTCTTGCCAAGAAGTGTTCAGCTACGTGGGCTGGAAGCACATTCTCCAGAAGCACCCGATTTAGGTTCTCCATGGTTTCGATCTCCTCCCGCTCTTTTTTGAACTTGTTCTTCCATAGGAAGTCTAACCTACAGTAATATTCATTCTGTTACAAGAGGACACAGAGGTAAAGAAACAATAGGCATCTTGTCCTGCTGGAGTACAGGTTTAAGAGACAAAATAAGCACAGTTCACCACCCCTACAAGGCTGTTATTTGGCCACTCAAGTACAATTCCAGATACCACAGAAATCAAACCCCAAGGATGTAATGTGACATACATTTCATCAAACTTATATGGCCCTCCCAACAACGTGGCCCATAAAAAGTCCCAGGAAAAAATAATGAAGTGCAAGGTGCCTTAAACCATGAGATATTTATTTATTTACTCTCAGGCTTTGGTAGAAATTCCTTCCAGAAATCAAATACTGTTATGGAAGCAGTTTACAGTTTTGAAACTTAACGTGATTTCTTAAGCATAGTATTTCACTTACAATAATGGGCAACTGAGGAAAACTCTAGCTTTTACCAATTTGAACTTATGTCATACAATCAGCCTCATAAGAAAAACCAGCCTACTGATACAATATGCCTTACGTTTATCAAATCATTATCAGGTTTGTTTAGCTTTTGCTTTGTTTTTTGTTGTGTGTTTTTTGTTTGTTTTTATGCTCCTTTCTATAATAGTTTATTCTTTTCTTGTTGTCGCAGAGTTTTCATAACTGTTTTTAATTGTTTTTTTTTTAATAATACCAGCAATAAAAATAACTGGAACTACATGGAAATGTATAACATTCTTGGAATATCAGTATTTTTGGAGATCTGGTTTCATTAAATTTGTGTTGAAAAATGAGTTTAAATGCATTTCTGCATCTCACTACTTCTTTTCAATATTATTAATGTTTTATCAAAAAATCTATGGCATTATTATTACAGCAAAGCCTCCACTGGCCTGACTATCTTATTTGAGCTGATATAAATCAAAAGCTGTTTCAATGTGGTTCAATGGTTTAACACTATCATGCAGCCTCAGTGAAGACTATGTTATTAACCAGGAGAACATGATTATGATGACAGTCTCATTATAGAAAAATCTAAAAATGCTAGCTAGTATTATCAGCAGTCAGGAAGCATTCAGATAAAAAATGAGTGTAGTCCTGGTTGGACAGTGGCTGTCACAGCTCAAAATGATTTATACATGTTTTGTTGAGACCACAGCCAAAGATAGAGTAGAAAGTTGAAATCAGATGGTATCAAAATGATTTGGCAAGCTTTTAAAAAGCAATGAAGGTAAAAATTGGTGAAGCAAAAAAAACGTATCCACCAAATACTTGCAAGATATAAAAATAGTACACTTAGGTTGCCTTTAAATCATTGATAAAGGCTGGGTTCTATCTATTTAGATATTTAACTATGAAAACAAAAGAGGTCGTCCATACCACAAAATCCTTATTGACAAATTCTTTTATGCTGATACACATAGTAGTAAGGACAGAATGTAGACCTCAGATGCACTGCAAAAGAAATATTCTGGCTCTTCTGACACAAAGATAACATTCTTCTGAAAGTAAAATGAGACTTCACATCTTACAAAGGATCATGATGCATCCTAGAAATCTGGGCTTGAGATGTCAAACAGGCAAACAAGCTGGATATTTTCAAGTAATTACATGGTACTAAAGGATATTTGAAGATTGTAAGCAAATGAAGAGCGGGCAGAGAATCAAATGTGTGTAAAGACAAACATGAAGGATCGGAGAAACTGAGAACAGGCTTCTCTGGGAGCCTGGAAATAGGATTTTATTGTTGTTCTCTGGCATCATTCCTGTATCAAATGGCAGTTATCCCTTCTATAAGAATGGAGGTCATGAAGATCTTTTTTTTCAAAACTCACTGCATGATGCAAAACACATGCAGCCACATTTTTAGAATGTCAGCTTTATACATATATTACATATTTATAGATCAAAATTCCCACCATAGATGATAAATTCAACTGCTACCACCTGTATTCATGTAGAAAAAACTCCAATCAAAACCTGGGATGTCAAAATTACTTGCATAAATAGAAAACAGTAAACTGGATGCCTGCTGAAACTAGGTATCTATTGTACCAACTTTGTATTGAAAAGAAAGGGTCCTGGATAAGCCAAAGTCTTCAAAAGTATATGTTTCTTTTTTAAGAGCTAATATTGAACAGATAATTTATTTTCTGATTTTTTATTTATTCAATGAAATATAGGCTGCCACAAAAAATGGCAAAGAGAACTCAGAAATAATCAAGCAGAATGTATTCTAAAATTTGTTCGGAAGTTAAAAACGTCAAGGTATTTCAAGACGTCTATTCAGGCTTTTAAACAAAAAAACCCTCAGTTCCTTATTAAAACTTACTTAAAATTCTGTTTCGGGTTTTTGTTTTTCTTTTTTGGTTGCATGATCTATCCAGTTTAGTAAAAAAGGCCATCAGAGATCCTGTTCAATATCTGTAGCCTTACAGAGATGTGAAAACCAAGATTGTTTCCTACTTTACATGTTACCTCCAGAACTTTTTCAAGATATCAGAATGAAAGTATCTCAGAATGGCCCTGCAGGCACAATATCCTTGAGATAAAAAATTTTCCTTCCTCATCTTATGCTGCTTTATTTGACACCACTTCCCAGCAGGTGAGCATAGTGGAATGCCCAAGGAGGCATGAAGGACACTGCATCCCTCCAGGGACCACAGATGAATTGGCTTCTGCCAGGACAAGAGATTACCATGCATCTGTGCAAGGCTACCCACAGGTTCAAATCAGTGGTAACTTCTTGGGCAAAAGTAGTTAAGTGCAACAGGAACTGAGTCACGTCTCATTGATTGCATAGAGATATATTTATCTATATTTTTAAATTCTAGTGGGACACTCACCTGGGTCTGTTTTCAATATTTGCCAAAAGCAATGAACTAAATCTCCTCACTGAAAGAATGTCATACAGAAAATAAAGATAGGTGTCTACAGTTAGGGAAGATGAATGCTATGGCATTCAGCAAAGGGGCAGCAAAGGCAGCAGCAGCACTAAAACAGGTAAGATAAAATCATAGAAATTAAGCCTAGGTTTTCTTTCAAGTGAGGGAGCTAAGGAGATTCCACTTCACAGCCATTATTTGCAGACAGGAAGTCTAAGAAAGTGTCTCAACATGGAGCATCAGCAGAAGCTGCTTTAGAACACATTAATAAATTGATCAGCCAGAAGTCATCAGCTCAAAAGTAACCAAAATGAGAAGCTGCTGGTCTGAAACTCATGGTGGAGAGCCAGCTCCTTCAAAACACCCACAACATTAGTGAAATGACAAATGGTAAGGATATAATGCAAATCTTTAGAAAAGAACTGTGCTGACCCTGGGAAAAATAGAGCAAGGTACTTTGGAAAAAAAAACCGCTAAGGAAAAGAGCTATTTAGTCATATTAGCTAAAGTTAATACAATGGGGAAGAGCTGACATCTCTTCTGTAAACATGCCTCCATCTGTTATGAAGAAGTCAACGGGCAAGCGAATAGGAGTGAAGTTGTAAGTTTTCATTACATTCTTTCGTAAGAGGTTCTTGAAAAGACTACATTATCTAAGAAGAGAAGGAAGCTCTCACAGAACAAAAGCTTAGTAAAAAGCAGAACAGAGACTACAAATAAACAGTTTTCATTGCTGAGGGAAGTTGCTATAAACATCTGGGCACTAAAACAGCCAATGAAGTTCAGTGTGGATAAACACAATATATCTCAATCATGGAAAAAAACCAAAACATTCACCTAGCCTACAGAGTAATGGGATATTTGTAATTTTAGGTATTGATAAGAAAAGAATCCACAGGCTATCCTGATACTGGTAATGCAAATTGGGCCGTAAGGGAGATTTAATGCTCAATAGTGTTTACATGTGAGCATACGCCTTACACAGTCTAGCCCATACCAATCTGCATTCTGCTGGGCAATGCCTGAGCAGGGTGCAAGAGTTGCCATTCTCAACATACTGTCTGCCTGCTGCCATACTATCTTCAAATAACTGTAATGGCATGCATGCAGAATGAAATGCATTGCTTGATCTCAGTGTCAGCAATCAGTGTTGGCATGACCATAAAAAAAAGAAGAGAAGTTCTACCTTCTGCACCTCACATCTGACTGTTCACTCCCATTCTGCGCTCATTCTTTTGTCACAAGCATTGCTACAGCCACACCGTAAAACCGATCAGGAAATAGATCTGGCAGAAACCCAACCATTTTTCCACAGTTAACTTTTAAGGCAGATTTTTACCCTATTTTGGGCCACTCTACAATTCCACAGGAAGCTGTGCCAGTACAAATGAGGTGATAGAACGATGAGTAGCCGAGGGAAGGCCTACTTCTTTTGGTAGGGATGCTAGTTGTGCAGCTAAAAGTATTAGCTGAACCTGAGAATTAAGTTGGCTTATAAAACATGTAACGACATCCTAGCTCTGTCTCTTCATTCCCATTCAACCAGAGACACACATCCCCTCTCCTGCTTTTGTACCGGGACAGGCATATCTTTGACCACTGGTAGCAGGTTCACAAAACAAGGCTTGTAGGAAAGCGTTTTTTGGTTTAGATGAACTTTCTGGTTATCTACTCTGGGGACAGAGGAGCACCAATGCCAGCTTAAGGGAAATGGAAAGACTACCGTTTTCATAGCAGCTGTTACCTTTAGCATTGTTAAAATAATCAGATATTAAAAGAAGAGACACGGGATTACCTGCAAATTAGAAAAAGTGAATAGCAAACAGAGATTTTTTTTTGTATTACTTCTCTGTGGAAGGAGGGTAAGGAAGAACTTTACTTGGCCTGCACTGCCAAGATGGCTTGACAGTGTTCTGCAAGTGCCACTTAATGCAAGTAGCAAGCAGAAAGTTTAACAGCAACAAGATGATAGACACTTCCACAGGACATCTTATCAAGTTATGAAATTCATTATGAGAAAGCATTGGGAAGACCAAGAAGATAAAAAAGGTTAAAAATGGATCAGACTGTGTAACAGAAAGCAGAGCAGCCAATAGCTATTAAAAATTGCCACAGAAATGACAACTGGCAGAAGGTGGGAAGCATATGTCCCTGGGGGGGTCACTCTACACAGATTCACTTCCTCCCCTATTCTCTTCCCAAGCATTTGCTACCAGTCAGTATCACCAGGAGTAACTTAAAATGGCCAGTCTTACGCCAGGTAGGTATTAAAATTAGTTCATAACATTTTCGAGTTATCATTTAGAATTGCTTGAAGACTGTTTGAAAACACAGATTTTTCTCCTTAAGGGAGAATAAATTAGCAGAAAAATCAAAGGCAAAAGACTGAAGAGCCACAAACAAGTGGTATCATGACAAGGGTCCTGGACCTATAGCTCTGAAAACAAAGACTTTTTCCCATTACAGAATCATTTTGTAGTTGGTGTGACAGGGAACACCACCTGCACACTGTTGCATGCAAAACAAACTTTCTTGTTGATGTGACTGAACGCACAAATAAGTACTCTCCTTGCTCACTGAAGATGACATTCCTTCTCTCCTTTTTTCCTTGGTGTTGCACCCACTGCCTCCATCTGACACCTTGGTTGACAGGGACTACAGGTTGTCAACTGGTGCAATGAAGTATTTATCCTGGTTTCCAAGTGTAAGTAGCTGTGTTCCAGCCCCACTCTGCTACCAGCATCAAATGAGCAAACTCATACTGCGCTGGCAGCAAGGCAGATGAAGAATGTTATTTCTAACTCAAGAAGGATGTTCCCCACTACAGCAAATCTTTGGATCTTCTACTGGAGAAGCTGCCAGGTAAGAATTTTTTGTCCAGTAATCTGCAAAGCCTGCCTGTCAATTTAAATGACAGCCATTATAGTTCAAGGAATTGTAATGTAAATGAGAGATCTAAAGACAGTCTGGGATAAGATCCTTCCCAAGGCTGCAGGCTATGGGGGTACAAGCTGTTCATGAGATCCCACATGGATTGCTTCTTCCATCTCAGAGCTCTGTCTTGTGCACTGCATCATTCCTGGCTAACAGGCTGGAGCTGCAGTTATAACCATGGATCATGGGCAGACCAGAGGACTTATATAAGGAATTGTCCATGCACCTGCCCTCAGCTTCATAGAAACTAAGACTATTGATGTCACATTGCTACTGAAAAAGTACAACTGGGTAACAGAGTAGTTTCCTGTTGGGTCATAGTTTCAATGCAACTGTGGCCTCAGTATGTGGCACACTTCTGTTTGCATGCTACATTGTTTCTGTGTCTGCATCAAATTGTAATAACTGTGAAGAAAATAGCTTGTAATTAAGCAACTAGGGAGACAGCAGATGGATGCAGACAGATGGGAGCACACTAGGAAGCTATGAGACAATATTGGTCAGCATGACAAGCAATAGTCACAGCATACTATCGGCATAATGTCTACAGGCTCAATGACAGTTATTGGTGAGTTTTAAGGGCATACTGGAAGGTAATAAAGAAAATAGCTTTTTAGATGTTGTGACACTTCTTTGCAAGGGTGTGAGGCAGAACAGAATAAAGGTGTGTGTTTGTCAGAAAATCTAAAAAATGTTTGAGAAGGTAGCAGGCTGCATGTGGAGGCTGGCATTGTGTCCACTGACGGAATGAAGAGAGGTGTGCATCTTACCTGTCTGCCCAAAACCAGTAATGTGATGAAGAATATAAACAAAGAAATTGAGCCCATTGTCTTCAGGTCTTTCAGTATTCCTGGCCTATAAAATAAAAACGTAAGTAAAGCAAGCTGCTCAAAAGTTAAAATAAAATTAGTTCAATACAAGAACAAGACCACAATTTATACTACTTTCTAGTATGTAAACTAGGACCATTTAAATATGATATGCTTTATTATTTGATTAAATATTATTAATTCCACTCTTAGCTATAATTACTTCTACTGCGTTTTGTGCAAATGTGCCTACAATTTGAAACCTGGTAATAAGATGAGGATTTAGTAAAAATAATATCCTTGTTTGCTTACAAATGGAGAGCATTTGCTGCTTATTCTATACAGGCAGATTAAAAAGAGATTTTTTTTATGTAGTAGCACTACTTCCATAATGGAGAGCTAGACCGTATCTAGTGAATGTCAAGAAACAGAAAATAAAGCACCTAAGTCCCAAGATATCTTTTCACCTCAGAATTACAGGAGGCACAAACTAGATCTTGTACCGAGTTTATTAAAAGCTCTGCTTTGGGAAAAGACACTAGAAGTGATGGGGAACAATTTTCCCAAGCACTCTCCTTCTGATGCCAGTGAAAGAAGAACCTTGGTGAGAGATTTAGGAAAGAAAATACCAACAGACACACAGCTTGACTGGCAAAATCAGGGCTGCCAGAAGCAAATGCTCAATCTAATCTGTCCCATGGTTCTCCATCCCATCACAGACATATCCATTCCCCTAATGCAATGGAAAAAAGGACCTGTGTTTGTTCATTTAACCTTTAGATTTAAGTGCAAAGAAAACACACTTCTTAAAAATTCAGATCCTTTTCCATGCTTGTCTTTATGTCCTAAAGATCTCGAGCAGCTTACAGCACAGGAAAAAGGATACCGAAACTCCATTCTGAACATTCAGCTTTTCTGTTGTGGAATATGCACTGCACACTCAGCCTACATAGACGAGAATCACTTCTTTGTTTTGAAAGTGAGGTAGAAATTACAGGTGTCCAAAAGTTACTTTACAGAGCAGTGCTTAGAATTAGAGTCATAATTTTGGTCTAACATATTATCACCTATAACAAAGATTTCAGCAATCTCACTGAAAAATTAACATACGAATTCATGAGCACATGAAAAATTCCAAATTGTTGGTTTACTCTTTTTTCCATTAGCTAAGACTGAATCTGTAAAGCTTTAAGACAACGTACTAGTTTGAGGAAGTTGATTTTCTTTGGCTTGCAGCAAATGTGCTTTAACAGTCTTAATTATATTTAGCCTTAGGCCTTAACAACCTTAATGATGACTTCTTCCTAATGTCCTTTATTAAAAAAATGCAAATTAACCATAGTCTATTTCCTATAGCATGTGCCCAGACTTGTTTATTTTATTCTAATGCTCTGAGGTGTGACATTAAATCATATATTAACTGCAGCATTACAATGTTTTTAAATTATGACTTGTAGATTATATAGCTGAACACATAGAAAAAAATCTGTTCCATAACTAAGGACTACCATAGGTAGTATTTAATTTCAGTAGGACTGGAGTTATCCACCTACCTTCTAAGAGGTGCCATTGCATACATAAATTTGCTGTAGTCATCCAGCATGGGCCCATGCGTGTGCAGAAGGATAACATTGTAGCCCACCAATGCAATCAACATTATCACCATTTTTAACTCATAATTAATCCTCAGGAAAACAGAACAGGAAATGAGCCCTAATATGCAGCTGTATATAAAATACTGACAAAGAAAAATCAAATGGAAAATATTTAGAATTTGACTCTTCAGTAGGACATCATGCATAATAAAATGCTAGTATAAAAAACTGTATTATTGACTGACCACTTAAACATGAAATCCTTTACAACCTGGGACATTATGGTTTACAGACAGTCAACAACAACCAGATGCTGGTATTTCACAAAATAGACCATTTTTCTTACTAGGCTCCAATTCACTCAAACCTCAATAGAAACCAGATTATGCTCCTAATGTTCACCCTTTGTCACTTCTGGTTTACTCATCCACAGTAGTGAGGTGTGCCTATTCATGGAACACCACTGCTGGTGTTGAAGTCTAGCTTAAGAGCCTACTGCCAGCAGACTGACAAAAGATTTATTCCTGTGCCACTGTACGGTTTTTATTCATGCTTGAGTCCAATAACTACCCTGTACGTATCAGTAGCGTAAGGTTCAAGGTGAAATGTCTAAAGATCTGAAAATAACAATTTCATTGCCTGTATTTGCAGTATTTATAAACTGATGCAATAAAGAGTTGTTAAGAACCTCATAGATACAGCATTTTATAAACTCTAGAAATACAGCTATGAAAAATAAAAAATTAATAACATGGCCTATGCATAATAAATATAAAAAATCCTTCTGTCCAATCAATCCTATTGAGTTACAACTACGTAAGAACACATTAAGTTGCTAAAAAAAGGCCTTTTCTTTCCTATGTCATATATATCAACAAAAATATGCATGGTTGAAGTTAAATTCCTGGAAAAATACTTCCTCTGTATACCTTCTGGAAATTTATTAGGGCATCAATATTAATGCTAAACAGGAATGATACATTCTCACTAGAATTGTCACCTTAGTCCTTAACATACAGGTCCTTTGCCAAAGATGCTTCCTGAAAGTTACAGTCCTGCACCTTGTAAGGAAGTTATATTTTCTGGAGCTACAAAGCATTCTATTTCTAGATATGCTATTTCAGACCACTGTTGACTTGTTGATGGCAGCACTTCTTGACAGAACTTGAATCACTGTATACTAACGTTGGAGGATCACTAAGAAGAACAATTTTCACAGCACCCATCAGACAGAATTGATCTGCCATCTCAATCTCTGCTGTTACTGCAATTTGCCTGCAGATCTGCTTGAAATAAGAAATGGAAAGAGCTACTGTTCAGAATCACCAAAAATAAAACTCTGATGGCTGCATTCCACAGGAGGTCTCACACTGTAGAGGAATAAAGGTAACTGGCATTCTAGCTAGCATCTTAGAAAGATGTGTGCAGTTACAAAGCAGGCAAGACAGTGGAAAACATAACAATCTGGTGAAGGAACAGTCAAAATAACCATACAGAAAATCAGGACTGGTGGTCCTATGTATAGTATGAGAGCTCTGATCTTTGTCGAAGTACAAAGATTGCAAGCTGTCAAACAAATGGCAGCCTGTCTCCTGGTCCACGCGTTCTGTTCTCTGTTCATCAAATGAGCATGAACATTCCTATAGAGGAATTAATGCCCAGCTGGGAAAAAAATTACAGCTTTTGTGTGCAGATATTGCACACTGAGTAACTGGGCTTGCTTCTTGGTGAAGACCTATGTTATCCTACACCTCTGCACAACCTACTGAAGAAAGAAATGTGCTCAGACTACATAGGCATTGAGGCTTTCTCCAAGGCAGAGTGTTGCAGTGATACCTATCCTTTGCAGTGACCCTGACTGGAAGATCATTGCACGCTAAAGTGTTAGCCACCCACACAACAGTGAAGCTGAGCAGGTGCCCACCCATGCTGTGCTCTGCATATTCCTCAGCTGCAGGACAACCTCAGCCAGCTCAGCCAACTTACTGCAACCAAGGAGCCTATAGGCAGCTCCCACTCAGAAGCAGCAGTTATGCCACCTCTATGGCCTCTAACTAGTGCAGCAAGTTCTCATGGATGTTTTTTGTCTGACAGCAGAAATAACAAATAGAAATGTTTTGTTTTAAGAAAACCCTGTAAGAGCTCAAGAGAGGAAAATGTGGGGTAACATCTCCACAGATGGGATCTGTACCTCATGCTATTCCTGACTACAGAACTGTCTGGTGCTGCACAATTCAGGTCTCCCAGTATCTGAAGAGATGTAACTATATCTACTATCTTTTTTCTCCTTGTGCTAGCTACAATAAATGGTATTTTTACCAATACCTTACAGAATCTGAGTGCCTTTCCTACCAGGATCACAGCCCCTGTGACTTGCACAGCGCACCTACACCCTTAGGATCCAGCCCAGTGCATTTGGTCTCTGCAAATTTAAGACCTACAGTTCTGTGATTATAAAGATCTTTACCAAAGTAAAAAGGGATTCTACTCAATATGTCTGTGAAGAAAAACTTGAGAACAAAGTAATTTTGGAAATCCCTAGCCAAATAAAGTGTACTCCAAAACTGCATCTTTTAGAAGTAAGGACTATGACTTTATTGATTTAACATGTGGAGGTGGCAGCACTGAGGTTTATTTATACCCGACTGTGGTTTATCACAGGAACAGACATGCATGACTTGAAATCTCCCAAGCCTAACTTCTATTATATGGAAACAACAGAAACATCATAGCAAATCTAAACAAAACTGAACAAAGCTAAATACAAGAAAAGACCTTATAACTTACTGTATAATCTTTGCTAAGCAAGAAGACAAACAACGTAACTCAGAAAAGTTATTTTGGGGGCTGCATTAGGGGGAGAATAAATTAGTTTGCTTCAAAATGAACTAAATTCTGTTGGGGCTGAAAGAATTAAAAAATCTCTTATTCATTCATTTTAGATGACATATTCAATAGATCTGTCAGGTCCATCATCAAAAATCACAGGAAGTTTATCTACATGAATAAAGCTTAAAGCTAACACACAGATTCAAAAGATTGAATTTTAATTTAATGAAACAAACTTTGCAGTTTAAGTATTCAATATCTCATTCAGTAAAGAGAGAATAATTCTGGATTTATTTTTTTTTTTTTAATTTAAGATCAAAAGTAGTAACTCAAAAGGAATTCATAGCTTTTTCAAGCTAGAAGTTTTGCAGTTGTGCAAGATGAAAATTATGCGTATTTGAGAGATGTTTAATAAAAAAGGTTAGAGAAAAAGTTCTTAAAAACTTTAGTCAACATAACTTTTTCATTTATTATTATCAGAAGTGACATTTTAACACATTTTTTTGTGCCAATTTGTCAAAGACAGAAGACAACGCAGGCACCGTTCCATACTTGGTGGCATTTAGTTAGCTAAATTTGAAAATGAGAAACAAACTCATGCTCTGCTGTAACTTTACCAGGGAGATGCTGGAAATCCGTAAGTGCGTGCTGCAGTTACTGCATCTGTTTGCTTTTTTTTTTCCAGGATAGGTCTATATATAACTAACATTTTGCTTTTGTGTGTGCCTAAGGATTGTTCAGCTTGACATAGTGAACAGCTGTTTTACGCAAAACACATTGTGTGGAAATCACACACCATTCTAGTTCTGGTTTCATCAATTCTGCATAGAGAGAAAATAATCTCCCTGTTCCTCTTGCTGCTTCCTGCTTATTCATCCAAAGGCTGTTGACCTGTTTTGGCACAATATACAGCTTGTTATGTTTAAGTGCAGGTCTTTTGTAATCTCTTTAAGAATTATTGCTCTCTAGCATACAGATCACATTTTTTTTCAGCAATTGTCCTTGCCCCTCTTCTTGCATGTGCTGCTGTGCTTTTCTTTACACTGAAACATTTTCAAATCAGTTCGGATCTTTTCAACAGTCTATGCAGTGGTACACGAGTGTTATATTTCTCCCCCTCTCATCCCACCTCTTAATCAAATATGCAATGACAAAAGTGTGATGATCACAGATTTCACATTTACTGCCAGGACAATGATAAAATCAGTGAATATTTTCAGGTCTACCACTAGTCCTTGTTAAACCCGTTTGTGGACTGACCTGGCTTTCAGTACACAGTCTGCTTTGCAGTCCCTGTGTGTTCCCCTATTATCTTTTAACACCCATTCGTTGGCACGGGTGAGCTAGGCTTCCTAGTTATCATACTGTTTCCTGCTTTTTAATCAGACACTCATTAAACCTTCTATTTTCAGAAGTACTAACCTCCTTTTACTTCCCACTTACTTCAAATGCAGTTGCAGGTGACTGAAAAAAACCCAAGCTTTTGCTACAGTCTTAAAAACTGGTGGGTGTTTAACTTCAAGCAGATCCGGCAACAGTCAAGTTAGTGTAATTGTTGTAAACAAGGAAAGAAATGTAAAACGGACTTACCGGTAGGAAAAAACAGTTGTTTTGTATACACCACCGTGTCTGATTACTCAAATTAGGAAAACTTGCATTTGACGAATTAAGAACCGAGGGAAAAGCTTTTACAGCATTATCCAGGAAAAACTAGACAAAAACAACATATAATCCATTAGCTTGTCAGCTGTTTTAGGTCAAAACAGAGAAGACAAATGGTGAAGCAGTGAAAGCCTTGCCAGTAATCATTTAACTTTGGTATTTCACTGCAAATTGAAATAGCAAGGGGAAAATGACATCATTTGATTACTTGTTCCTGCTTCTTCAGACAAAACCACATTGGTTAGCCTCCACTTTCCACTTGAATAAAAGAGAAAAGGCTCTGTGATTACTTTCATATATCATAAGCTCACACATACGAGAGACAATGATTAAGTAAATTCAGTATGAGTAATTTCTGGGTTTACCACAACTCAACCTCTTATTTAAACTCAGGAAAAATCAGAGAAAGAATAAGAAGTCTTTACTGAAGTTGATTTACATGATGTAATAACATAATAATGATGTCAACAGTATTGGTACTAATGTTACTGAAACAGAAAAGTGGAACCAGTATCTCCTGGGTCATCAAATTCAGCCAGCTCATGCCACAGGTACCCATAACCATCATCATACAGTACCCCTTAATGTATTGATCCAGTGCTTTCTTAATGAGTTAGATTTCTGTTGACTACATTAATTCCACTGCTTTGAA